GGCTGGGGCCCCCTGCATCTCTCTTCCCTCCTCCCAGACCTCTCTTTTCCCCCTCAAAGCCCCCTGCCCCCCAACCCTATGTCTCTCGCCCCCCACATGTCACTGCCCCACTCCCACCCCCAGCACCTCACTCCCTGCAAACCCTGGGTGCTGGCAGCAGCTTCCCTCTGCCCCAGGTGGGGACTCTTAGTCAGCACCACAAGGAGCAGCCAGGGGCAGTCCCTGCCATGCACGCAGGGAGCAGTGCTACCGGGGGGGAGGGGCACATCTCACCACCTCCCCAAGAGGTGTGGGGGGGATTGCTACCTAAGAGAGTCTCTGTGGAACAGCGCCATAGGACAAAACCCACTCTGCTCATGGATGGAAAATCTTAAAGGAAACACTAGTGCCCACCCACACAGCACAGAGCTGGCAGGGCCCTGGGAAAGGGGATTCCTGCTTGTTGCTTTTTTTAAAGAAATGTTCACCCACACTCCCGCACCGTTCTCCTAACAGTTTGCTTGCTGCAGCTGTTCCATCACTGCTCACTGTGAGAGACTTTAAAACAATGGCTTCCTAACTTTCCTCCTGTGTCCTGCCAACACATGCCTAGAGTACTAGGCCTCAGATCAGCACTCACTTAATGCTGTCAGAGCCATCACTGTTATCCTGTGGAACCTCTGACAGCTCATCTGTTCGCTGGGAGCTATTCGCCAAGGGACTGGAATGCTTGGAAGTGTCTCTTTCAAGAGGTTTTATGCCAAAACGGCTAAGTATCCCTGCCTTGCTGCTGTTGCTGCCTCAGCATGAGGCCTAGCAATGATTCTTTAGCTCTGACTGCCCAGGAGACGTTTTAAAGGTAGAACAGGTAAGAGGAGATTTATTTGGGGAAGGGGATAAAAAAAATCAGGGGCACATGTGTGAGGGTAGGGAAAACAAATGTAAACTGGAAACTCAGAGCAGAGAACTGCTGCGCCAGCAGCAAGTCCATCTTGTAAGATATGAAGAGAGCACAGCCTAAGCCAAGCAGGATTGTGCAGGGTCAGTGTTTGGTGGGTGCTCTTCAGTGCAAACTTTATATAGCAGGAAGCCGTGCAGATAATTCAATAGATGGCGCTCTTCTCTGAGGTAATGCTGAGTCTGTGACCATTAAAGATTCTTTCTGTACTTTGAATAAAAACGAGAGAGAGGATTGGAATGCTAGTTCTAAAATTCCAAATTCTAACTTGCCCCACTAACATTCTCTCTACAGTTTGGTTGGGTATCAGGTTCTTTGCTTCCTGGCTTAACCTTTTGTGTATTGTTGCTCTTCAGCTGTTAACCAGCTGTTGCATTCCACTCCAGAGGTGGCTGCCTGTCAATAGTGGGTGATTGTATGGAGTGTGCACTGTTAATCAGTTCAGGTTTATAAAAGACTTTGGGAGATAAGGTGCTGTAGAAACTGATGATGATGTTCAATCAGTGCATTAAGTAATAAGATATGTTCATAGTGAATGGAGTACATCTGAATTAGAAAACCTGTGATCTTGAAATGAGATATTATAGGAAGGGACTACTGATGGTGGTCACTCTGTAATATGATAACACCCGTGTAAATGGAAAGGAATATAGTAATCAGATCTGTATAATGTTTCTTTAAATAAAGCAATTGTTGTAATGAGTGTGTTATTTCTGATATTTACGTGGCAAGGATTTGCAAACTCGTTAAAACTTAATACAAAAAAACCCTGTGATTGGGAGGAAGGGGATGAGGGGAATTGTGAGGGAGGTGCTCTTCTGGGACAGGTTAGCTGGGCAGCCTATTAATGTTCCTGATCCTTCTTATACTCCGCAACATTAAAAGCTTTCAATCTGAGGGCTCTGTTGATCCCATTAACTTTGAAAAATGTTAACTATTAAGTAGGGCTCATTGCTTAATGGCCAGGCTGATCCCTTTGTCTTGATCCCTCTTGTGACCTATCACATGCTTGAAGCAGTGTCTACCTAGTTATCAAGATTTACTGACACAAAAGAGCCAGGATTGTGCAAAAATCCCTGGAATTCCATCCACATTCTGGGAAGATAGTATAATATTATTAGTCCAGCCTATGATGTGAGCATTAGGATATGCAAAGCCAGCATAGTAGAGATGAATGTTTCTGTGCAGAGAGCAACTATCCTTTACTATAGAGCAAAGCTACAAGCTACTTAGTAGCAGAATGAATTTTCAACCTAATTCTACCTGTGTTTCCCTGGTTGACTGAAGAGCTGAGCTGGCTTCCAAAGAGAGCCTTCCTCTTTCGATGCTAAAACTTCCTGTTGTTAATATCCTTCTGCCCTCTCCTGTGATGGCTGGGCTATTGTAGAACAATCTGGTGATTGTTTTAGCCTCAGTCAGGTTAATATAGACTCCTGGTCAGGTGCTCGTAATGAAATTTGATCAGCTCTTAATCTGGCTTGTCTGATTGCTCTGTTGTTTTGCGCTTCAGTGTCTCCACAGACTCCCAGTCCCACTATTGACACAGATGGAAGCTAGAAATGATAATGAGACTATATTCAGGAGATAAGGAGAGGGGGATCTTCTGGCTCTCTTGCAGATGGGAGAGACTTCACTTTCCATGATCTTAGTAGAGTGAAACTGTTATGCTCCAGAGTGGAATGTGACCAAGTCAGTCATATCTCATTGAATTCACTTCAAAACTGAGTGAAACTACTGGCTTAACAGTAGTAACCAAATGCCTGGGACAGCAGCAGTGGTAGTTTTCATTGGTGTATCTTGGGTTCTGGACTTTGCAGTGTACCATACCCTAGCCCCTTGTGTCTGGCTGCCCCAGGAATGTTTCTCTACTGAAGCATTGCTGCAAGAGAAAACTGGATGGTAACCAGCACAGGTACTTGAGCTGGTGCTCCATTAGTATGAAAGAGAGGGGATTACTAGCAGGGCACCTCTTAACTCTGGAACTTTCTCCCCAACCACCCTTTTACATACCCCTTCTGAATTTGCTGGTCTGAGCATATACTACAATGTGTGTCTATTCTTTCATTACCGGAGCTGATAGGAGTGATGCTGATAGACCTTGTGGCTCAAATGCACTATAAACACAAAGGTTTCAGAGGGGGAGCCGAGTTAGTCTGTAACTGGGAAAGCTTAAAAAACAACAAATAGTCTAGTAGCACTTTAAAGACTAACAAAACATGTAGATGGCATCATGAGCTTTCGTAGGCACAGCCCACTTCTTCAGATGACTGAAGTCCAGATCCAAGAATAAATAAGAGAAGGGGGGGGGAGAGAGTGATGAGGCGGAAGGGAGAAAAAAATAGTGAATTGGATTGTTCCAGTTACAAGAGGCTATAAGAACAATTTGCACCTCTATAAGTACCCGTTGGTTGGTTGGTGGTGAAGTCATTGGGATGTGGAAGGTAGTGTGTGAGCCAGCCAATATCTTATCTCTCTGATAAGAATCAAACTTGTAAATGAAGTAACAAAGTTAATACAGTTCTATAGAGCCTGCACAGTAGATGCAATGATCAGTTGCTCTTGCAGTTCTCTATTCTCTGTCCATTCCTGATGAGGGTGAAGATCTTTCTCCTCTCCAAATCGTACATGTCAAGGAGAGAGGGACTGTTCAGTGAAGCTGATCGGCACTTCTCTATGCCCAGGGAAAGCAGGAGCTGTGAGATGCTGCACAGCATCATCACGGGGTGTCACTTGGGCAAATAGTAATGGGTTTGGGAGGAGGAAGGGGGTACCTGGTGTGGAAATGGCACTAACGCTGGAAGCCAGGCATTGGACCTCATCACTTGTGAATTTAAGCATGGACAGTGGAAGCAGTTATGGCGATTAAGGCAGAAAACAAAGCATGTTCTTTTCAGAGAGTGGGGCTCCCTGTGCCTGGAGGGGAAAAGGTACATCTCCCCTACGCCCCACCTCTCCATGTGTATGAGGAGCAAAGAGAACTATTTCACAGCAGTGTGTGGAAGTGGAATGGCTTGTTCTATTGTCTTCTGCCCATCTCTGTGTCAGGTGACCATGCCCACCACTGAGTCTGGTCACCAGGAAACTCTGCTGGAAAAGCGGCAGCCCCAGAGGCTATTTCCCAATATTTTGCATTTATCAGAATCCTTTGCAGACCACAGCCCAGAAAAGGGGAGGGATTTAATTCTGGAGGAGCATTGCTTGCTGGTGAGAGATATCGAGGATAGATAAAAGGGACTGAGCGATTAAGTTTCGTATTGCAATACAGAGCTAATTAGAGTGGCCAGAGACCTGGCTTGTAGCCACCACCTCCTTTGGTGGCTTCACGTCAGAGCTGTGGTGCTTCATGTCTGACTGATGTGGCTGCAATGCCAGGGCTGCACATGAGATAGGGTTGCTGACAGCTTGGTGAGTATGGGGCAGAATCAGTGCCGTGTGTACCCAGTTCTGGATGTTATCTACATGGCTTTCAGTGACCCATCCTCCCTCTCTCCCTCTGAACAAACAGCTCTATGTGGCAGCATGTATGTTTCCATTCCACTCCGAACTGAGACCTGTTTTGGAGCTGGTCTTCTGAATCCAGCAGAGCAAAGGGACAACCTAGATGATATGACTCTGGGGTCCCAGCAGTATTGCTGGTGAAGGACTAGGAAAGTCCTTTGAGTGAGCTGGGCTGCTGTGGCAATTACCACCTTCCTAGAGTGAGTGCGGTTACACACACCACACTATATAGGAATAAAATCCAGGGGGAAGGTGCAACTCTACAGTCATTCCTGGAGTGATCCTGCCATAAGTTGCTGCTGTACTGAAGGATGCATTAGGCCAGTTAGCAATCCTGCTCCTGGCCTGGGGCAGTGGAGTCCCTGGGCTGCCTGAAATTCCCTGCCCTTCCCTTTCCAGGACATAGTGGAGGCAATGAGCCTGTTGCACTGTGAAATCCTGCCATGGGGAAGTTGCTGACTTCAGCCAGTCCTGGTGTATAGCTGGGTATTGGACTGTATGTGCGTGTGTTTCCATGTGTAATACTGATAGGGGACTGACTCAATTTTCCTTTCTCATGTTTCAGGGGCCGTTCAGATGCTGCCAGATGCCGCCAGGGGAGAGCTGACTCGGAGACAGGCGGACAGGGAGATGTTTGGATGGGACGTTGCTTTGGATCTGTGAGTTCTTGTTTGAGGGGTTGCTGTGAGTGTTGGGATGTCTCTAGAAGTTTCAGATTATGGGGCAGGTTACGAATGTGAAGTGGGGTTGTCCTCCCTCCCTGTGGGCAATGTAGATGGGGTAAGAGTGAGGAATGGCAAAGGTCCTAGCTAGCACAGAAGGGAAGAGGGTAGTTGCAGTGAGACTGAAGAATTGCCAACTGAGAGAGGGACGATGTTTAGCTTGTGCCTTCTGAATGTCCCTGCAGTGGAGACTTCAGCAAGGAGTCTTGTGGGGCATTCATAGCTGCTGTCCCAGGTAAGGTGGGAGGGAGCCTGTCTGAGCCAAACTGATGGTAGCCATTGGGAGCTGCTGTCTGCCAGCAGTCACTGCCACAGCTGACCCTATAGGAGCTGTGCTAAGCTAAATTTACCCTAAACTGCACGATTGTGCAGTTTACCATTAAGTCCCATGCAGGGACTCGGAGCTACAGCCCTGAAGCTTCCAGAGATGGTGTAAAGGAGCCCCCTCCCACCGATCCCAGCACTGAGCAGCTGTGGCTGGCAGGGGGGCATCCCTCCTTGCTGGCCCCAGTGCTGAACTGCTGCGTCTGGGGGAAAGGGACCCCTCCTCGCCAACCCCAGCAGGGAGCTGCCCAGGAAGGCCTGAGCGCCAGCCTCCTGCCCTCCCTTGAGCCTCCCTGACTCTGAATACTCTCCTGCACCCCAAAGCCTACACCCCCAGCCCAGAGCCTGTACCCCCTCTTGCTCCTCAAGCCCAGAGCCCATACCTCCTTCTGCATGCCAACCCCCATCCCTGATCTCCTTCCCAAACCTGGAACCCTTCCCCCGTGCCTTGCACTCCAAACTCCTCATCCCCAGCCACACCCCAGAGCTTGCACCTCCAGCCAGAGCCCTTACACCCCGATGCTCTGCCTCAGCCCTGAGCCCACTGTTACACAGAACCCCTTGGCCCCACTCCTGCCACATGACTTGTTATGGGCCTCCACATTGGTGTATATAAGAAAATTCATTCTGCTCAGGGGTGGGAAAAATTAGATGGGAACACTCCATCCCTGCTTGGAGTCCCCTGTCTGTGGCTGAGTAGGTACAAGCAGTGCTGAGCAGATCTCTCTGTTTTGTAGCTCTGCTGGGGTCCTGAGGAGGGGTAGCTATGTCATTGTGAAGCTGTTTTTCTTGTACTCGTTGAGACACAAAGACAGCGCTGTAGTAGTCAACAGGGTCGGCCAGCCAACTTGTTGGGGCAGGGCCAGTGCCAGGGGATCTCTTAAACTTGTTTCAGCAGAGCTCTGCAGAGTCGCTGCTGCCTGCCTGTTCCATTCACCTTCCGTATGACTCTCTGCATGTGTACAAAGACTCCAGTCCCCACCTCCTGGGCTGGGTGCCATGGAGAGGGAAAGGTCTGCAGCAGAGATGGATGGGGAAGGGAGGGCCCCATGGAATTTCTGGAGTGCCTCAGGCAGTGGAAGGAAATGGCTGTCTGTCTAAGGTCTTATCTGGCTCCCATCACCGGAATATCTCATTGTGTTTTGTTGTGGTGGTTGCATACCCTGAGTGCTGGCCTTCGGAGCGGGACTGTCAGTCAGTCTCCTTACGCTTGTGCTGTGTGTATTTGTCTGGGAGCACTTCACCTCAGGAGACCCCTGTAGAGTTGGACAGGCTTTGCTGCTGTGGTGACTGCCAGGAGCTACAGCCGTGATCCCCAACACGGTACCCGTGGGCGCCAGGGCGCCCACAGGGGCATTTGTGGGCGCCCGCCAAGTGCTCGGGGCTGGCCTGGCCCCGGGCACGTGGCGCATGCGCGGTGCTGGAGCTGGCCCTGGGCGCGTGGCGCACGGTGAGCACCGGCCCCGGGGGCGCCGCGGATTGACCCCCCGCGGCGCATGGGGGAGGGGAGGGAGAGAGCGCCAGCGCCGGTCCCGGGAATGCGGCTATGGGGGGGGCCCCGCTCGTATGGGGGGGCCCGCTCCCGGGCAGGCAGCTATGGGGGGGTCCCGCCCCCGGGCGCCCTGCAGGTGAACGGCCATGCCCCCTGGCGCCCGGTGGGCGAACGGCCACGCCCCCTGGCGCCCAGCAACCTCTAATGGTTGGGGACCACTGAGCTAGAGAGCAACGTCTCATGTCTAAACTTCTTTGTAGCTTGCCCTTCTAATACAGAGGCTATGGATCCTATAGGCTCCAGTATGCAGTGCCCCTTCTTGGGCTGGTAGGTGCCACCACTACAAGCACCAACCTGGAGACGTGCATTAGCTAAATGTTCCTGCTAAAATGCTCAGCAGGGAAATAACTAACATGGCCAAATCTGTGGTTTTGAGGGTTCTGACATCCTGTTGAGGCGAATGTATCACTCTCTAAGGCCCCATTCTTGCTAGCAGCTTTCTTTTGCCATCAGTGGAAGCAGGAGAGGGCCCTCAAAGCTATTGTTTTGGCTCTGGGAAAGGCAGTGTTGTACCAGGGTCATACTGGGATGCGTCCTCTTCGCTCCAAAGCAGTGGTCACCAACCAGTCAATCGCGATCGACCGCACTGCCAGTCAATCTCGATGCAGTGCTCCCCTTGCCTCCCCCACCTGCAACAAGGAGCCCTCGCTGGCGCTACAGCCTCCTGCCCCTCGCAAAATTGGAGCCAGCGCCGGCTTCCTGCAGCACTAGGGAGAAAAGTCCTGAGGCTCTGCGCCAGATCCAGCTTCTTAGGAAACGCGCGCACTGCTCCTCCCCACAGCATCACATGCACTTTCTTGTCTTTCCTTCATGCTCTGGGGAGGCTGGGTCGGGGTTGGGGTGGGAGTGGGGATTAAGATGGCGGTGGAGGATCTGGAGCAGTTGGATTTCTTAAAGGAGCCACACGTGTGCTTCTTCCAGTGCTTCCTGCAGATCCATGGAGACCCCCAGGTACTGGCCAACCTGCTCCTGTTCCCTCTCCCCTGGCCAGACACCGACCAGCACCCTGTCCCTGCCCCCTCTCCCTTGCCCAGACCACCAGCACCCTGGCCAGATACCCTCCAGCACCTTGTTCCTGCCCTCCCACCCCAAAACCTACTGCCACCCTGTTTCTTCCCTCTCCCTCCTGACCAGACACCTACCCCCAGCTTGCTCCTGTACCCTACCTCCCACCCAGATTCTGCAGCCCCAGTCCTATCCCACTCACTGGCAGCTCTGTCCCTCACATTGGATCCCTCATTTTTGGCCCCACCCCAGAACCTAGGTAAAAAATCCACTATCCCTGGAACCCCAGAAGAGTTAATCTGGCTTGAGGCTTTGAACCTCAGTCCTACTTACACTCTCTTCCTGCGTGGGGCTGGAGTACCAAGGGGGGGAGGTGTCTCAGTTGGGGCCACATCAGTGAGGCTTGGGGGGAAGGAGGGTTTGGTGGGGTTGGTTTTTTGCATCTCACTTGTGTGGTCCCCGACTGATTTTTCTGTGGGTCAGTGGTCCCTGACCCAAAACAGGTTCCTCGCCCCTCCCATAAATAAAGACAACGCTGAAACGTTTGTGTTGGACATAATATTTTATTTAAAAATTAAGCCGGGCCCAGCCCCCATCTGGCTGCAGCATCATCACACTCCTGCACCCCCCACACACTCCAATCCTGAGCCCATCATACACCTGAACCCCCTGCCCTGAGCCCCTCAAATACCCTCCTAATTCAAACTCCTGCACTCCCATATCCACAAGTCTTTGGCTTGCTCTCAGCACCCCAACCCTCCACCTGACCCCAACACTCTCCAGCCTGAAGCCCCCTCCCTGAACCAGCATCCCCTTCTCCACCTCCTCCTGCACCCAAATTCCTTCCCAGAGCTTGCAGCTCTCACCCCTTCCCACACCCAAATCCCTCATTCCCACCCCAGAGACCATCCCTCCTGTCTCAACCCAGTGAGAGTAAGTAAGGGCTGGGGACAGCAAATGATGGAGAGGGTGGGGCTTCAAGGAAGGGGTGGAGGCTTGGGGAAGGGATGGGGTAGATCTCGGTTTGCCCTGACATTTAAAAAGTGATCTTGGGTTGCCACGGCGGCTGCTCCACTGTTCCAAAGAATTAGAAACGGACCTTCAACGTCAAGTGTAGATTGTGCCAAACTGTTTTGGACATGGGGCCTCCTGCCTGGCAAGGAGATTCTGGGTTGTAAAGGAGAAGGGCCTGCCACCTGAGAAATTTATATTTGCTTTATTTTAAAACAATGTTGTGACTGGGCAGTGACAAGGGCTCTCAAAGTCTGGGGACTGGGGAGCAAGGAGTGACCAGCTTCCTCTGGCTGAACATATGCATTGAAGCAGGAGCTCCCATTGAGCTCACAGGCAGAGATGAGTGACCCCCTGCCCCCCGCAGACACATGAGAGTGTAGTATTACGCATGGTGCCCGTGACAGGGTTGGGTGGGGCACCCAAGTGGTCTCTGGGGGTTTTAAATTCGTTGTGTTCTCACCTGTAGGATATCTGAGTGAGTGTCCCCCAACATCAGACTTCAGCGCTGAGTGCAGGCTGGTAAGTTCTCCACCCGCCATGGGGTACCAAGATTGCTGTGGGGTGATGCCTGCACTAACCCATCCTGTCCATGCTTCCTAGCTGTGGGAGGAGTTACAAGGAGACCCCTATCCATCACCTAGCTGCTGCCTGGCTCACATGAGCTGCTGTTCAGCCAGGACTTAGCACTTTTCTCTGAGGAGAAAGCAAGGTAGCTCTGTCACCCAGCTGAGGTGCCTCACCTCACGCAATGAGCTGCAGAAGGAGCAGGCCTCACTGGTGATCTCCCAGCAGAGTTGGTGTTTGTTCTGCAGCATAACCCTCTACTCAGGCCTGGGGCCTAGTTGTACAGGGCGCTGTGGATATTCACAGGTGCACTGCTCGTTGCCCCAAAGAGTTCACACACTGGAAGGAGAAGGGATGCCCAGGCAGCGAGGGAGAGGAATACAGTGCGTGTGTTTCTACACATTCTATACCTCACACTTGCTCATCAGAGCTGTTAGAAATTGCCCCATCTGCCCCCATCTGTTCCACAACCTGTTGTTTCCCAGGGTGTGGCAGCAAAGGTGAAGTCCAAGGGTTTGCTAGAACAAGGGATAGTGACCTTACAGATGGGTTCAAGGAAGGCAATCCATGCATTTGAGAGGGCTTGTGGGGGCGATCTGACTGTAACTAGTGTAAGTTGGCTTAGGCTGTGCATGTAGTAACTGCAACCCCTTCCCTTGTAACCCCTGTTGGCAGTGACAATGCGAGATCAATAGCTCCTACCCTGACTGTCACTGCTGCCTGTAAGGCTTGCAGTTTCCATATTGGAAAAGGCCTTTCCTAAAGAGCCCAATCAATATGCTGCTCTGAGGCCTGTTCTCATGTACTATATATAATCCGGACACACGCTGTACGTGAGTGTGCGCGGGCGGCGGGGGGAGGATGTGCCAACTCTCTGTTTGCGCTGGCTGGGAGAAGGACAAAGCTAAATTCTTCTCTGTCTCGCTTTCCTGCCACGGCGGCTGCTCCATGATCCTGGGCTGGCAGTTCCTCTTACTCTCTCAGCATTTTGGATGGGGAGCTGCTGGGGAGCATAGAGTATTGGATCTCCTCTTGCTGGAAAGTTCTTTGGGCTGGCTGGGGCGCTGGTGACCCTCTGCTCTCTGCCTTTCTGCTTTTGGCAGGTGACCAGTTGTTGCGCCCAAGCAGAAAGGAGGATGACAAGCACAGCTCCATCCAAGAAGCCTTACCGCAAGGCTCCGCCACAGCACCGTGAGATCCGCCATGACCTTCCCATCCTTCGAGACGACCAAGACGGTGTGATTTTGGCTGAGCAGAGTCAGGTAACGGATAACCGGGCAGCTAAGGCCCTGGTGCCATTACGCCAGCAGGCGGGGTTTAGTTATGCCGAGGCAGGCCAGTTCAAACAGGTGGATGGGTTTGAGGTTGGTGCCATTACGCCAGCAAGCGGGGTTTAGTTACGCTGAGGCAGGCCAGTTCAAACAGGTGGATGGGTTTGAGGTGTGCAACCTTAACTTTTCCTCCTGGTCCCTGGAGTCGAGCAGTGACAAGGAGGTAGCAGGGTGCCGAGCAGAGCTAAACTTCAGGAGCCGGACTCTGTCGCCTGTGCTACTGCACAGCGGGAAAGCAGGGAGGCGGAGCGGGAAGCACTGCCGGCCCCCCAGCCGTGGGCGTCTCAGCAAGTTCATGAGCCGCAGTGTGGAGACGGTTGTGGTGTCTGGAGATGAAAGCCAGAGGCCCACCTGCTCCTTCAAAAGCAGGAGCCTAGAGCGCTCCCTCATGTTCAAAGAGCCTGCTGAGGTCCTAGCCCCCAGGAAGTTCCAGGCCTCTGCCACTCCTCTGCCTCTCAAAGGGATCCTGAAGCAGACAGGTATGCTGGAAGTGCACCCTGAGAGCCTGCGCAAGTCCCATTCGGTGGAGATGCTGGCCCATGGCCAAAGTTCACGCAAGTACAGTGACCCTCAGCTGTGCCTCAGCCGGAGGGAGCGGCGCTCGCTAGAGTGCAGCAGCAGCACTGCCGATGCCATCAAGCGCCAGGAGAAGGTCACTGAGGAGAAGCTGCAGTTCTCCAAGTTCCTGGATGAGATCACTCACCGCGTGCTGAGCCCTGTCCACCTGCAGTCCCTAGGCGAGGGCAGAGCAGGAGGGGGAGGCCAGGACTCTCCTTCACCACGAGGTTCCACTCCAGAAGGCCAGAAAGAAAGCCAGCCTGAGGGGGCCAAGAGAGCAGCAGAGAAGAGTCCCCGCCTGAGCAGGAGAAGAGCAGATAAGAAGCGTGAGGGTCTGGAAGTGGCTGCCTGCCGGAAGAAGCCTCCTGAGGAGGCTGCGAGGGCCCCCAGGATGAGGAGAAAGCCCGTCCTGGTGAGGAAGGACAGCAAGGAGAAGTTCCTCTCTGTGGAGAGGCGGGTAGTGGATCTATGCCATCATGAGCTGCAACAGCTGGCAGAACTGGGTTTGGCAGGGGTGTCCTCTGAGCAGCAGCAGTTGTTGCCTTTGTGGAAAACCAGTCAGGAGGGAGGAAAGGGCAGAGAAAGGGACCGAAGCAAGCACCAGGTGCGGCAAGTGCGGTCGCAGCATCATGGCACCAAACCTTGCCAGAAGCCCATGACAGAGCCAGGCTACCTGGAGAGAGCGTCCTTCTCCCCTCCGACACACTGGAGCCAGGAAGACAGCACTAGCTCACCTAGAACCTCCCCTTCCTTCAGCCTAGCACTAAACAAGGTAGGTGCCAGAGTCCTGGAGCACAGGCCCCTCACCCAGGATGGGGACAGAGGCCTCTGAAAGGCCAAGCCTATCCTGCTTGGCTCCCACAGGTGTCCTTAGTGCCCACGTGGGGAGCAAGGGGCATTCATGGCTGAACTTTCACATTATTCCATTTGGATGTTGGTCTATGGATCGTGTAGTCTCCATTGCCCCAGAAAGGCCTGGCCAAAGAACTTTGACCTCCCTTTTCCAAGTGGTGTGATGGGCTCTCTGAAGCTCACATAAGGTACCCTCCTCATCCCAGTCCCCCTCACATCACCCCAATGTTCCCTACTGGGAGGCTCTTCCTGAACTGGTAGTTGGGGGTGTCCAAGAACAAAATTCTGAGACCTCAGTGGGGGCAGAGCATCACCCTTGTGACTCTCCAGACCTAGCCCATCTATGTATCTATACACACATGGTGCTAATGGACCTCCAGTCTCCCCACTAACCTGTTCAGTGGCAGATCTTGCTCCTTTGTTGGGTTGCTCCCAGGTTGAGTGCCCCTATTCACAGAGGAGAAGGCAACAGCTCCTCCTAGGAGTTGTTAGCCATACAAGCAGCAGCTGGTGCCTCTTCCCTATTGCAGGCTTCTAGAATCTGCCTAGCAGACTACAGGGTACCAGTATGCAGAGCTGGGCACAGCAGGATGGTCTAGTCCATGAAGGAGACCTCTGAATCCCCCTAGTGCTTTAAGATGGGTGCCCCACACACCTGGGTACCCTGGTAAATCAGACCTGTATTTATGTGAGAAGTTCCTTACCTATCTGAAGGAGTCCTTGTCTGCAAGAGCTACCAAACCCTCCAATTCCATGCACCCAGCGGGCTCCTGGAACATTTCCTGGCCTGATTTTTGTTCACCTGCCTGCCTGCTGTCATCTGGGCCCTCAGAGGAGAGGCAGTTGCAGGGTGGTGATGCTACCTGTGGTCTGAGTTAATATAGTGCACTTGAGACTGGGACAGAATCATGGTGTACACAGTGCAGGCTGATGCACTGCATTTACCATCAGGGACATAACATAGCATGCATAGTGCAGCTGGAGCTTTGGGGACCCCCCTGTACTGCGTGGGCCATGGCAGTGCACTGGGTTGTTGGGAGCAGGGAATGGCCCCACTGCAATGAGGCCATGCTTGGGTCAGCTCTTGCACTGTGGTATTGCTCGCACTGAATCTCTTCCAAGGAAATCTCTGTGGCAGGGGACCTTGTACTTCTCTAAGGTGCAGCGTCCTCTTTGGTGACCTGAGTGCTTTGCTTAGCTAGGCTCCAGGGCTCCGTCCAGTATTTCCCTAATCTGCTCCTTCAAGCCATTGAGAACAAGCTGGGCTTTCCAAAGAGAAACCTCCAATTTCTTGGGTTGGCCTCCTCTTCCCAGAAAGGGCCATCCCTGGAGATGGCATTCTCCTCCCAGCCACAAGTGAGGCATGTTGAGAGGCAGCTGCTGTCACCTGGGCTAGCACATCAAATGCACAGGGTGGGGAAGCTAAGCTGCTCCTACTCACTCCCCTGTCCCTGCTCACGTGCAAGGGTTCTGCTCTTGTGGGGGGCGGGTTGCTGGAGAGGTGTTGCCTGCTGTGTTTTATGTCTAGGTTCACCTAGGAACCTATAACCAGCTCAAGCTGAGCACCAGGGAACCCTCATCTGGACATGCTTGGGCGAAACAAATGGAAAAGATGCTTCCTCAGCCACTTAGAGCAGTTCTTTTGTTATCCCGGGGAGGCTGCAGCCACCTCCATAGTGAAGGGTGCATAGGTTTGTGTGTGCAGGCCCAGGAGACTCCCATTCTCACCACCCAGACATTGTGGGGCTGCTAAAGGTTAAGGAAGCAGCTCTGAGGTGCTCTCCACATTGCAGAGTCCCTGAACTTGTCGCATGGGGGGAGGGATGTTGCAGGAGCTATGTGACAGTTTCCGGTTTCACCCAGACTAGTGCTGACCCTGAAGTGAACCACATGGTATGTCTTGATATTGACTAGTTTGAGAAGCAGTATCTGAGCAAGAACAACCAAAAGTCTTGTGGCACCTTATAGACTAACTGATATATTGGAACATAAGCTTTCGTGGGCAGAGACCCACTTCGTCACACGCATGCAGTATCTGAGCAGTGAATATAGAGCCCAGCTTTGCTAGCCAGGCACAACATGGCCTGCCCAGAAGTGTTGGGAGTGGGTACCCTTCACCTCTCAGCATCCTGCCCTTTGGTGCTTGTTTGAGTCAGACACCTGTTTTGAGAGATTCTTACAGCTGTTTTCTTCTTACCACAGGAGCCCTTGACCGATGCAGAGAGGATGAAGTAAGTGTCCTGCTCCCTTCTCGTGCACTAGTTTCACTGCCGCTGTGTGCGCAGATTCCAATCTCCCATTATTCCCTTCCCACCACAGTGCTTAGCCTTTCAAATCTGCATGATGGGTTTCCCTTCTGTGGGGAGAGACTAGGGCTGATTTCTTTCTGCTTCCGCTTACCAAATTTTGCCAGGCTTCCCTGTGTTCCCTGAAAGGACAGTTTTAGAGCTGCTGTCCCCATAAGAGGGAATGGTCCCTAATGCTGATATAGATGGGATTTCTTTAGGAGACCCAGCTCAGGGTGCCTCATATCCTGTTACAATTTGAGGGAAGGGGAGGGCAGACACCCCTGATTGTAAGCATCTATTCTTCACCATCAAAGGGAGAAAAAAGCGCTACCATTTTGGGGTGACCCACTCTAACTAGTGTGTGAGGTCCTCTTGCTGACTGCATGAAAATTTGCTGTACAAACAAACTAGCAGGTTGCAGCTCTGTGGATCTCACTCCCCTCAAAATCCCAGTGAAGAACAAACTGATGCAACTCGAGAGAGGCTGTGTTTTCTAGGGTTCTCTGAACATCTGAGTGCATTGAAAGCACATGTGTAGGATAGTGGCGTAGTGTGGAGGTATGGGGGGGGCAGTTGCCCCCGGGCGCTATGCTAGAGGGGCACCAATTTAGCTGCCAAAAGTTATATTGTTGTTGCCTTTTTTATGATTATTTCCTATTTTGTATATATTCCAACAGTCGACTGTGAAAAGGTTTCAGCGAAACCTTCATAAATAGGATGATAGTTATGTTGTACTACAAGCGCTGAGGTTATACTGCATGCATATTAGTGCAAATAGTGGCAGGAATACGCTCTACCCAGTCACCTCAGTTCACGCACATTTGGGTGTATCCAGGCAGGAAAAAAATGATTGGGGGGCACAAATTTTGCCTTTGCCCCATGGCGCATAACACCTTCGCTATGCCACTGGTGTAGGAAGGTGGCAAGCATCCCTTGGAGTGAGTGTTCCTGTGAGGGGAATGTAGCTCTTAGTGTTAGAATGGGGCCTGCTGGAGGCTGTCACAGCATCTCCCTAGAATGTGTATGCTGCCCATGCCTCCCTGCACAGCCTGAACCCCCCACGTGGTCCAGAAACTACAGGGACTCCTGTCCACTGCTTGTTTAGGGTTAGAGGGCTGTGGTTGGGCCTGGGGATTTGGATGCTTCCTTCACTTCCAACTCCTGCAGCATGGGCTGGGATAAATTATTGAGTGGGTTTCATTTTCCAGGGAGGGACACCTGAGCTGTGCAGCCTATTTGGCTGGTGGGCTATATCCAAAGGCTGTAACCTGAGAGGGAGCTGGTGACACAGATAGCAAGGCTACTGTGCACTACTCGGCCCCTGTTCCAAGAGTAGAGAGCAACCTGTGCTGCCAGGAAGCAAGGGTTTGAGTTTCTCACCTCCTGAGCTGAGCAGAGCTGCCTTGTGCTGCATTTGGTCCTCCCATCAGTTTAGTTTATTGCTACAGGCCCTGGCTGCTCATAAACAAAACCCATGGCATGAGTGACAGCAACCCAGAGCAGGAGCCGATCTGCAACTGCCCCCAAATTGTCCATGCATCTCACTCCTGTCCTCTTCTGCATCCCCTCTAGTCCACTTCTGCTCTCCCTCCCCGCCCCCGCTCTTTCAGTGCCCATAGTCTGCAGAGCCCCTCCCCCCCCCAAGTCCTTGTTCTGGGTCCAGAGGAGTAACTGGGTCCTGTGGGGATAGCGTACACACACAGCCACTTTTCAGACACCATCAGACTCACTCCATTGTGGGTGTGTGAGGAGGGATGAAATCTGAGTCTAAAGAATCCCCTCCCAGTCACACGGGACATCTGTGTGTGAAATGCCTGCATGCTCCCCAATAGGTGAGCCGGAAAGGGAATGGCGGCCTTTGGCAGCTGTTTAGATGATGCCACCAGAACCACCTGGGAGCCTCTTCACTGTCTGTGTGGGGTCTCTGCTTCTCAGGATCCTGAAGTGAGCTTAGGTGTGGGGTGTCTGCATGAGCCCTGAAGTGCCACCACTTACTGAGGGGTGTTGCTCTGTGTGCCTCAGGCTGCTGCAGCATGAGAACGAGGAGCTGCGCCGGCGGCTGGCCTATGTCACTAACAAGATGGAGGCGATGGAGAGGGAGCTGGAGTCCGGCCAAGACTACTTGGAGCTAGAGCTGGGCCAGAACCGTGAAGAGCTGGAGAAATTTAAGGACAAATTCCGCAGGTATGGCAAACGCCAGAGGAGAGAACGTGGCTGTGGGGAGATAGGGAACCTCTGTCTAGGGGTCACTTGGCTGCCTGGAGAAGGACACAGAGATACCGAGAAAGCTCAGCACCCATTGTAATAATGCAGCTGCCCATGGGAGGGAGCACAGCAGTGCTACCCAGAAATTTAAGGCAGGAAATAGAAGCGATTTTTAATCAATGTGACTCGTTCAGAGGCTGAATGGTATTGTCTAAGCTGGAATTTACCCAGGATTTGAAAATGAATACCCTGACTAATGTAATGGGAAAACAGTGGCCATAGGTATCTGGGATCTGTTTTACGTCTCACCTGACAAGCAACCCCTTAGGAAGAACAGTGCTCACTGTCATCACGTTTGAACCCAGTACTGTAGAGTGCTCACAGACTCCCTGAAGCAGACTGTGTTTTCCTTGGAAGTATCCCAGCCAAATACTGATCACAGCTACCAAGTGAGAGTATCAGAGCAAGGAGTTAACATGTCTGTGCACTCTGCAGCAATCAGTCTTTCCTTGGGGGGGGGCTCTCACTTCCCAAGCTATGGAGAGGACTTGAGTTAATGGCCTGGTTTCCTATTCACCTGGACATTTGTGCTTCTGCTTAGGTTACAGAACAGCTACACTGCTTCACAGAGAACCAACCAGGACCTGGAGGAGAAGCTTCATGCCCTGGTAACTGATGCACTGAGCCTCTGGGGAGAGGAAGTGGAGGAATCTGGTGTGTTGGGATGCAAGGAGGGGTGGGGGACTCTGGCTGACAGGTCAGGCATTGCAACAGATTGTGGGGGGAAGTTCTGGCCATGACCCTCCCCAGGCCTAGCCTGGTGTCCTGAACTGGATACTTTGCCGAGCTCCCACTTTATCATGCCCAAGAACTTGGTTTGCCCACAAGATAGTTGCATGTAATTGTCATGTTGCATCTGCCTCCTTGAAAGGCGCTAGAGACTCCAGGGGATCACCCTCGGGGGCTCAGGCAAGTGGAGCAGAACCTGTGTGTGTGCATTGTGTGCGTGCATTGTGTGCATTCATAACACTCATGGCTGTTTCTTTTCTCTCCCTCCCTCTCTCTCTCTCTCCTCCCCATGCTGCTGCTGGCACACGCTGGGTGCACTCACCTCTCAGGCCTCTCTCAGCCAAAGCTGGATTTTTGCAGTTGCGTCTTTTCATTTATGTGGTTTTTTTCCCCTTCTTCACATGTCTCAGCCTGTCATTTTCATTGTCAGTCACACATTACTTGGCCCTTTTGCACCATCCTAGCTTGAGGGGCCCCAAACCTTGTCCAGCCCAGGGCTCCACCTCTGCAGCACAAAGCAGCTGCCCACAAAGATGACAGGTCCTAGCATGCAGTGCTCTGTCAGAATGTGAACATTTGCTTCTGATCCAAATGGAGCATTGCCTGCTAGACAGCATAGTGTCTACAGCCGGCAACACTGTGTTATGGTGGTGGGTGGCTGAGAGCCCATTTGGTCACCCATACTGTAAGTAAACAGATGCTAGTTCTAGCTGTGATAAGTCACCTGCCCATAAAAAAGTATACAGGGTCAGTTCTCTCCCTTGGCACTAGGAGCTTTCTGGATTCATTATATTTCTACAGCTGCCCAAAAGTCAGTCCATGTTTCAGAAATGCCCTGTCCGTGCATGCAGCACTACCTGTCACACTGGGCCCTGCTGCCACTGCTGCTCCACAAGTGAGCTGGGTTAGTTACACACTTGGAGCAGATTCCAGTGGCCGTGACGAATTGGGACAGGCAAAGGATCTGGCTTGGGAACTGTTACCTGCCACTGCTAGTAGCCTCCATGTCTGTCTGCTCCAAGCAGGAGCCCAAAGGGTGTCCTTTGGGAAGAGAATTAACCAAGAAGAAACTGCCCAGACAGATCCTTTCACACCAGAGCAAGCCCTGGAGTCTTCCCAGAGCTCTTATTCAAAAGCAGAAGCTTCTCGATGCTGAATCAACTGCTGCATCCGTCTTTGTCTCCCATGCCTCTCTGAGCAACATCTTCCTGTTGCCATGGTGGAGAGGATTGGATGTCATAAACCCAGCGGCCTTTGCTGCTGGTGAAAGGTGTTTGATTGACAGGGACTGAATCCTTTGCGTATTTCCAGAGAAGCTTCAGTGCAAGCTTCTTCCCTGCTGCCAGTGTGATCTGCTTGTGGCTCTAAAGCTGAGAGAGTTCTGTCGCTTCATGCTCCTACTGCAGGAAGAGTAGGGAGTGGAGCTGTGCTGTACTGTGAAGGATCAGATTCACCTCACTTCAATACCTAACAGATATGGCAAGAATTCTGTGTTGTCAGAGACCCTCCCTCAATGAAGAGCCAGGACTGTTTGTTACTTGTCTGTCTGGAAGGTTTTGTTTCCAAGCTGAATGTGGTCTTGTGCTATGCAGAGGGCTTGGTGGGTGAGAGGCCAGGCTAGCCTGTGCTGGGGGGGGATTTATGCCTTATATTTCTGTGCCCCAGATAAAAAAGGCAGAGCTGGACCGGAAAACCCTCGACTGGGAGATCGTGGAGCTTACTAACAAGCTACTAGATGCCAAAACCACCATCAATAAACTTGAGGAACTCAATGTAAGTGTCCAGTCCACAGCCTCTGTCTGCTCAGTGTGGGGAAATGAGGTTGTAGAACAGGGATGGGCAAGAAACCTCTTGCAGGCTGGATGTGGCCCACCAAGCCACTGGATCTGGCCCACAGACCACCCTGCCAGGACCCTCAGCCATGCAGCTGTGGTCTGAAGCAAAGGCTGCTCTGTGAGACTCTCTACTCTGGAAGGAGGGTGATCTCCCAGCCCAAGCCTCAGAAACAACTGGCCAATAGGAACTAACCCCAGCTAATCTCTCAGCTCCTATTGGCTGGAAACAACCAACCAACAGGAACTGAGAAATTGGAGAGCCACATGGAGGGAGCAGCCCAAACTTTTAAGCAGTCTGGGGCTGCAGCAAGCAGGGAGCCCAGCCTGCCTTGGGGGGATGCTGCAGGCCTGGAGACACTTAGGTAAGCACCTCCCAGCCAGAGCCTACCTCTGGCACCTCTGCCCCTCCCATATCCCCCGGGTCATCATCCAAACCCTCTGCACCCTTCTGCCCTAGGTCATAACTCCCTCCCAGACTCTGTACCGCCTCCTATGCCCTTCCCCAGACCAGAATCCTCTCCTGCACTCCCACTCTCTCCCTGACCCTACACCCCAGTCCCTTGACCCAGGTCACAACCGTCTCCTCTACCCAAACTCCCTCTCAGATCCACACCGTCTCTTGCACCCCACTCCCTTACCATGTGCGCCCTCTGTAACCAACCTCCATCTTACACCCTGCACCTCCTCCACAGAAAAGTGTGGCCCTTGACCACTTTGCAAAATCTTGGAGTGGTCCCCCACCAAAAATTAGTGCCCGCCCCTGGTGTAGAAGAACCGTGGCTGAGTCATCCAAAGTCTGGTCTATAATTTAATTACTAAGGGTTGGCGAGGGGTGAGCAGCACATGGCTGGCATTCATCTGTGCTAATTTTGGGGAGCTAAGGGGTGCCAGACAGGGGAAAGCAGGAAATAGCTCCATTGACCTGCTTCCTAGAAAGTTAGTAGAAAACAAAATCTAAGCTTGCCATATGAAATGGCAGCAAAAAAAGGCCCATCTGAGTTTGGGGTGCAAAGCTGGGAGAGGATGGTCCCTCCATGCAGCTTTGTTGCAGCAGTACCTGAGACTTTGCACTTGATTCTGGATACCCTGTCGGCTGGAGTTCGGAGAAGGGCAGTGAGGGCCTGTTTGGTGGTGATCTCTCCCAATTGGCTGACAGCATTAGAGGGAGAGGTACAGACCCTCACAGATATTTGGAGGGTGAGGAGCTCCTACAGGCTGGGTGTGAAGCGGGAGCGTGGGGCTGATATTGAAAGGCACTTAGCTGTGTGGCGGAGAGGTACTGGTCTGTGAAGAAGTCTCCCTAGGGAAGCAGTGGGAGCCCCATGGTGTGGGGTGACCTCCCCTCCCCCATGCAAGTGAGGTGCTTGCTCAGGATGGGCCGGGGCCTGCATGTGTGGCTGGCTGGCTGGCTGGCTGGCTGTGTGGCGCAGGGGGGAGACGATGCCAGGGTGACCTCCCTCTTCCTGTGCGGTCTCTTGCAGGAGCGCTATCGGCAGGACTGTAACCTCGCAGTGCAGCTGCTCAAGTGCAACAAGTCCCACTTCAGGAACCACAAGTTTGCTGATGTGAGTAGCCAGCTCTGCAGCAAGGCTGGGGAGGGGCTCACAGCTGCTTTGTGTCTGGCCCTTTCTCCATGCCTGGCCACTCTCCTCTGTAAGCAGGAAAGGAGCTGCCTTGTGTCTCAGCGACTCCCTTCCCCAGAGCATTGGGCAGAGGTGTAAGGAGCTCCCAACCCTCTGTGCAAGGCCTTGGCTTGCTCCTCTTTCAGACTGGCTGCATTTGACATCTGTCGGAGGTTGTTACTAAAAGAGCCTTGAGCTACATTTCCAAGGAAGGGAGGGGTGGTGTTTCCAGCACAGTAGCCTTGAATCTGATAGCCTGTTGGGTGCCTGAAGTCAGCTAGCAGCGGAGCAGGCCTCTCACTGACCCCTTGTCTTCTCCCCCATTTGCACCTGGCTGTGTGCAAGGCCCATCCTGCCTACTAAGGGACCAGGTGAATGAGGATGCAGCTGGTCTGACTCATCTGCCACTGATGGGGCTACCCGTGCAGGTCTGGGGACACTCACCATGCCTGCAGGCTCGCAGAGAGCAAGTTTGTGGGTGCACAGTAGGGTTGGGAATATGGGAGGCCGTCCTGTCCTGTCCTGTCCTGTCCCCCGGGTGCGGGAATTACCCATGCTTGTGATGGCGATTCTTGTTCCTCTCGTCCCCTGGAAGGGGGTCTGACCCCAACCCCAGAATTCTCGTGCCCTCTCTATAAAGTCTTGTCACGTGGGCCCCTGAGAACAGTGGTTCCCAACCTTTTTTACACTGTGGACCTCCAAACCCATTCACAAACTTCTGGTGGACTGGTAACATTTTATTTTCACATTTGCATATTCATTATACAAATAATGAATATGCAAATAAACTGTTACCAGTCCCTAAGGGTGTGTCTACACTACCACCCTAGTTCGAACTAGGGTGGTAGTGTAGACATACCCTCTCAGAACAGAGTTTGCAGATATCGACACTGAAAAAAGAAATCACAGAAAAAGTTCCTCTCTGGCTGCTGGCAGGGGCAGCCCTTCCCCCAGGGGCAACTGGTGCCTGCAGAGGAAGGGGTGCAGGGAGGGGCACCCTATTTAGAAACTTTAGAAAAGATGCCAGATGTATAGGAGCTGGTGCCCCCCCTCACCCCAAATGCTACCCCCGGTAACCTCTGCCTTCCCTGACTCCCGCCCCATGGAATGGAGGTGGGGAGAGCATTGTATCTCCCCATCTCCTTCTGTATAACCTCTGCACCTCTGTCTTCCCCAGCCAGGCTGTTCTTGCTCCCACACTCTCCTATCTTCCCCCACTCCCCCTTTTGCTCCTCCCTCAGAGTTTCCCTCCATTGCACCCCTGCTCCCATCCACCCCATCTCCCCAGAATCCCCCCCAACATCCCTTCAACACTTACTGCATCTTGCTCATGCCTCACATGTCCCTGTTCCCCTTCAGCCTGCTTATCTGCACCCCGCCCCTTCAGCCCCTTCTCACTCCCTCCACCCTGTACACTATGGGAGCTGGTGGCAGCTCCTCTGGGCCCAACCAGGGATCACAGCCAGCTCTGCTGAGAGCAGCCCGAGGCCAAACCCTTCCCCTGCAGCCCTGCTCCCAGTAGAAGGGGAGGGTGGTTTCTTACCTGCACTCAAGTGCTGCCTGCCCTGCAGCAGGGGCTGGCCAGACTGGGGACGCTGCCCTGGGAGCGGCTCCCAGGGAACAGCTTTCTATATACCACTGGCGCTGTGGGAGATCCCCTGCCCAGCAGCACCCTCCCACCTCCATAGCCGTGGCTCAGGGATCTGGCCTGGAGCCTGTCCTCAGAGTCCCCACAAGCAGAGGCTGCAAGTTGCTCCCTGCTGCTGTCCAGAGCCAGTGATGGGGCTCCTGCTGGCTGCTGCTGGATCCTACTGCGACACCCCCTACTCCTACCGCAGGGTTGCGGCCTGGCAGCCAGCAGTTCGCGGCCCAGCGGTTGAGAACCACTGCCTTAGAGGGCTCCCAGCGCCCTGCACATCCAACCCTGGTGCTTGTCTTTTGTGAGCAAGCAGTTGTCTGGTATGTTACCCCCAGGCATATGTCACATTAACTCCATAGGGCATGTATCAGTTATTGCTGGTGTAACCGTCACCTCCCAGCTGACTCCAAACAGGAGCTTTGAATTCTGCCCCCAAAGGGCTTGGCACTTGGATGCCACCCAAGGCAAAATGCAGCTGAGCAGCTGTGCAAGGACCTTCTGTCTCCCATCCACCCACTACTCCCCTTCTGTGCGCCCTGGGCTCACCTGTCTGACTGCAGGATCCTTCTTGCAGCAGCCTGTGCCATGGCTCTGGACCTGGAGGTTTCAAGTGGGAGTCCACAAAGCCCAACCCCAATCTTCTGCCATGGTGGTTGTGTGGCTAGTCAGAGGGCAGCATGGGATTGAATAGGGCAAGGTGCTTACCTGGCTGGCAGTGGCAGGGTCAGTGCTCACCCCAGCTCTGCAGCCAGTTTGAAATGCCTGGCACACCTTGATTGTTGCCAGCCTGCTGTTGAGCTCGAACCCAGCAGCTAAACCAGGGGTGGGCAATAATTTTGTATGGGGGGAGGGGGCACTCTAAGAATTTGGAGAGTGGTCGAGCCAACACTCTTCCATGATATTAATGGAGGAGGTGTGGGGTCTGGGATGGAGTTTGGGTGCGGGAGGGAGTTTGGGTGAAGGAGGCAGTTGTAACCGAGGGCACTGGACTGGAGTGCAGGGGGTTGGCTTGTGACCTAGGGCAGGGAATTGGGGTATAGGAGGGGAATGCAAGGGTTTGGGTTGTGAGCTAGGGCAGGAAGGGACTGTGATCTGGGGTAGGGGATTGGGGTGCTGGGTTTGGGAGGGGGTATGGGTGCAGGAGGGGTGCAGAAGATTTGGGTAGGTGGAGTAGGGGGCAGAAAGTTGGGGAAAGGAGGGGCTGAGTGCCAGAGACAGGTTCTGGCCAGGAAACTTATCAACCAGCAGCCCATTCCTGAATCAGCGTGTCTGCCTGTTCCACCCCCTGACAAGCTGCAGCCCTGTGACATGTGAATAACTAGGAGCACCTTGTGCGTTATAGCTGCCTGTTATTGAAACAGGCAGCTCCCATTTGCCAATTCCCTGCCCTCC